TTTTTAAAAAGACCGTTATTTTTTCTAATAAGACCTGTATACCATGTTTTTTTTGCAAAACAAAGTTACACATTTATCCAAAAAAATTAATATATTACATATATATGTATTAATTACATTAACAAATTTTTATATTTCACGTAAAAAAAAAAAAAAAATCACATCAACCATTTCACAAAATAAATACACCATAAATTATTTCTAATAAAACTAGTGTAGCATGTTTTTTTTTTAAAAAAAAAACTACACATTTCTCCAAAGAAGATTAATATATTACATATATGTATTAATTGCATTAATAATTTTTTATATTTAACATAAAAAAACAAAAATTTTACTTCAAATCATTTCACAAAATAAATACATCATAAATTAAACAAATTAAAACCCCAATAGAAAACGGAGGCTATATTATCTTTACAATTTTGTTTTGTTATGGGTGTGCGCTTTTCTAATATTTTCTTCGTCACAATTTAGAGTATCAATTTTATTATTTTTGTATGTTCCACTTTAAGGTATTCATTTCTTATTTTAGAAAAAAATAATCATTTATTAATATCAAATATCATTAACTTTTATTTAAATTACAAATATACGATTATACATATAATTACTTTATACATAAAATTAAATGACAAAAATGTAAAAAACTCTTACATACTTTTAATGACTAATAAACTATTATTATTTTTTAATTTACTACAAAATTTAAAAAACCCAATTAAATTGAGACGAAGGAACTACTATATTATCCTATAAAGAAATATATAAAATTTTAATAAAAAGTATTTTATTTAAGAAAAACTCTAAAGGAAGTCACCAATTAATGTATACACAAAATTTAGAATATTCAAATCCAAGGGCATCTTTGCACATGTATAAATGATCAACAACACGATTATACTTTTCAACCAGGAAAATATTACATCAAAATTATATATAATATATATTATATAAATATATATTGTCGAAAATTTTTTATATCACAAAAATATCAAATAATTATCAAAAAAATAAATTTTGATATAAAAAATAATTTATCAAAATAACTTCGATAATTTCAATAATTTTATCGAACAATAAATTCGATAATTATGTCGATTCGAGGTAGAACCTCTATCCGTAAAAACGAATATGCTCTGATAGTGCCTCTGGTTCGTGATGCAATATTTCCAAAGATAAAACGACGTTCGTCTTCGAATTATGTGACACCTCAATATTTCGAAATTTTGGCAAACTAAAATGAGGTGAATTTGAACTATGTTGGGAGGCTTGAACATAAGCATAAGTGACCAGAAATTGACCGAAAATTCGCCGAAAATATTGCCGAAAACTTAGAGAGGAAGAGAGGGGAATTCTCTCTTTGGTGTTGTGGAAGAATGGGTGGAGAGGGCTTTTTATAAGCACCTCCACCATTGGAGTTCTAATGTCGAGCCAAAACCGTCGGTTTTTAATGGTCTGTAACCATCAGCCATAATTTTAGTAACGTTCGACAATAAACACCAAATTTATTCCGGTCATAAATGTATTATATGAAAAATTTGAATTTCAAATAATCATTTATCATACATGCATGTAATTGTAATTTTTGGATCCGGGCAGGTGGTACGTGCGCTTGTGGCTTACCATCATTTATATCCCTAACCACATTATCAATAACCACCATATAGCCCACATGCATTTCAACTCATTGAATAATCGGTTCCGAAAATTATAAATTTAATTTAAAATTAAATTCCATCGATGAAATAATTAACCGGTTTTCCAACAATCCCTCATATGAGTGGAAATGCCTATTAATTTGGATAACACATAGCTCTATTTTAGAGACATTGACACGTCATGATAGGTAGTTTGTGGCTTTGAGCCTTCTTTAGTCAATAATATTGTATGTACCAGTGGCCTAGTTGACACGATGCATTAAACTATTCCACCATTGTGTACATTTTAGTCTATAATATTGACATATCACTATCTCAACCTCATTTTATTCTCACAATTTGATCTGTTTCGGCCATGGATCACAAATTTTGATTTATAAGTATTTCATTTAAAGTGGCTCTCACTTCACACTTATATAGATAATCATTTTAAAAATATTCAGCTTTACTTTTAGGATTATTAAGAGTCGGTGACTAACCTCACCACGTTGCCCATTGTAACACTCATAGCTATTTAGGGAATAGTAGTCGAATGTTCGTACCGAACTATTACAGCTTAGTTTTCCCATTAAATCAAGGCTTGAGATCTCCAAGTGATTTGGTTGGGTTATCACTGTAATTGTCTATTAATTTTGTAGATTTCAAATCCATTGTCTTTAGCAGTTTATACATTTGATCATGTAACTTTTTGATTAGCAGATCCGCAAGGTTTTATATTGACTTATAGTCAACATTCATAACCCTACTAGTGATCAATTGTCACACAGTGTTGTGTCTGTGTCGTATATGTCAAAATTTATAATTGCAAATTTATAAGTGTTTATTTAATCTCGTAGCTAGACGTCATCTTTATCATTTTAATTTCGTAACTGAAAGTTGTTTTTAAAATAATCCCGTAAGTAAAATTTTTTCATACATTTAGTCATTTGATACCGGAGATACCTGTGTGACATACCAGATGACACGTGTCCAGGTCAACGCCACCTGAGGTACACGTGAATAATTTTTATTTTTTATTTTATCTTTAAAAATAAAATTTATAAAATTATAATATAAAAAGTAAAATTAAATTGAATTTAAAATTAAATTAAATTAAAAAATGAAATGAAATTATTTATTTTATATCTTTATCTTTTAAAATAAATAAAAATTTATTTTTAAAAATATAAATAAATATTTTAATATTTTAATTTAATTTAATTTAATTTTTATATTTATATGCCAGGAGGCGCTGAGAAGACTAAATGTGCGAAATTTTTTCACTTATGAGACTATTTTAAAACAATTACGAGACTAAAATGATAAATGAGTCGAATTATGAGATTAAAAAATAGTTTATCCAAAAATTATTCCTTCGGTCCCAAGATAGTTCAATTTCATTACTATATTTAAAGTAATGATATTTAGTTAGTTAGTAATAATGGATTATACTATTATTTTATTATTTTTATGTAATTAATTATATTGTTAGTTTTAAAAATTATATTGCAAAATAAAAATATACTCCGTCTCATATTTATCCATCCATTTGTATTTTGCATAGAGTTTTAGAAATATTAATATTATATTGTGATGTTGTAGAAATAAAAGTAAAAAGACTAAACTAATCTTATTAGTAGTGTATGATATAAAAGTAGTTATATTTGTGTAATATATTGTAAATTAGAAGAGTATTTATAATATTAGATAGATAGTACAATTATATATATATAAAAAAAATGAATACGAGACGGATTAAAATGAAAAAATGAATAGATTAATATTATTTATAGTTAATATAAAATTATTTTACAAAAGATGTAGAGTTATAAATGTAAATAAAATATTTATATTTTGAGGAGAGAAATAAAAATAGAATTATAAGAGTTTTAAATGTATGATATTATGTATTACGTAGTTAATTGAGTTAATTTATATTATTTAAATATATTTTGTGATTTAATACATTTTATTCAAAATAAAAAGTATCAATTCTTATACGACATACAAAAATAAAAAATACTATATATTTTCTCCGTGTCGGTACGAGAATTTAAGAGGAATATAATTAATAAATAATTAAAAATACATTAATAAAAATAATTATTGTATAATATAAATAATTATAAATTAAAATTAAAATTAATTATTTTAATTAAAAATTAAAAATTAAAAATTAAAAAGTGTAATTAAAGTGTGTAATTTTTTTAAAAAAATAAAAATAATAAAATTAGTAAAACCTACAAAACAGAAAAAATAGACACCAAAGAAATATTGACTCTATCCGTCCCATAACAAAGTATCAATTTTTTCATTTTAGTAACTGTACTATCTACTAACATTAAAAATATCCTTACAACTTACAATATATTACACAAATGTCATTACCTTTATATCACACATACTAATAAGAGTATTTTAGTCATTTTTATTTTATTCGTACTTATATTTTAATATAATATTAATATTTTTATAATTACGTGAAAAATAAATAAATAAATAATTCCGAAAAGGAGGAAGCAAAACCGATAAGTATTTATCTTTATCATTATAAAAAAACGTGAGTAAGCGTAGCTAAAAGCCGGCAGACAAGTACAGCGTTACATCCTGCAGCCAATAAATCAGTTGCACATAGGTACCTTCAAGACAATTATACCCCTACATGTATGGGTACAATTCTAGGTGCACGAGGTACAAATCCCATAAAAAAATCAATGCCGTTGCGTGCACACAACACAAGCTTAGCGTATTCACTACAGTTACGTAATCGTAATGAATTCTGTTTTGGTACTTACATACAAACATATCCCCCAGAATTACTCTTTGTTAGGAATATTGTATTTTAAGCAGTGAGATCAGTAAATTATTAATTATTTTTTATTTAAATAATATGTTTGATATTTTAAATATTTTTAAAAATATATTTCAATAAAATAAAATATATATGTAACATAAATATAATTTTGTAGATAATTAAATTTTATGTAATACAAATATAAAAAAAGATATTTATTTTATTTATGGTTAATTTAAAATTAATTTTAGAAAAATAAAAGAATTTTGAAGGTGAAATTAAAAATTTAATTAAATTAATTTATATTTATTAAATATATTTAAAATAAATAACTTTGAAGTCATATTTAATGGTACGGATAATTATTTATGACTGAACATTATATACGTTTCCATAAATTATTATTACTAGTATTATTGTTATTATATAGGTTTTCATAAAATATAAAATATAAAATAATAATAATATTATTATTACTATTAAGTATGTGATTTATTAATTAGGTTAGTAATTAATTACATTAATTATCCTATAATTACGGATTACGGACCTCGGTGAGATCGACGGTCCAGAGTGGCGGAGATCGATATCTAATTGATGTTCGAAGCATTGCGCGCTGCGTCGGCGGGTAGCTTTGGCTAGTACTGAAGCTTCTGTGAAGTTATTTTAGGAAGAGGTGGAATTTGCAGAAGGAGCGAGCGGGCTTGGCTTGATTCAGGGATGGATTTGGATAAGATGATTTCGTCACTGAATGGATTCAGAGCGGATGTGAATTCGCGCTTATCTCAATACGAGCCGCTAGCGCTTGTTTTGCTTCCGATTTTGACGCTTTTCGTCGCGCGAATAGTTCGATCAATTTTTTATGTAGTTTCGGAGAAAGGAGTAAAATCCGCTGCCGTGGAGTTGATCATGGCCTTTGTCAAGTAATAGTAATTTGATTGATTATACGCTGTTGTTTATTTGGCTGCAGTTGCGAATGATATGAGAAAATGATCGGATTGATTTTGTGTTTAATTAGTTAATTAATTTTTTTTTTTTGGGTAAGGTCGGTGCCTGGCGTGAAGAAGTACATCGATTCTGAGAAGCAAAAGGTCGGTAAATTCTGATTTATTGAACTGATTTTGGAAGGTGCAGACGTCCTTTTCTTTGAAATTCTTCTGTAATTTGATGGTGTTTGTGTCGTGGCTTTCAATATTCAGCTGCAAAGGGGCAGTGTGTGCAATTAATGCTGCTGGGATCTTTTTTCATATATGGTTCGAATTCTACTGTTGACGTGATTGAATAAATGCATGATTCTTTGTAGAAAGAAGAAAAAAATGTGTCGATGTCTAGTGAATGGGATGTTTTTATCATGTTCTATTTTGTATTTTGGATTTCAGGATGGAACATCTGTCTGATGTTTTGGGGCTGGATTAACTCAAATGATCATTCTTGTTTATGATAAGTTTGTTGTTTTCTTACAAAATGGACATATAAAATATATCCAACCATAAGAATTATAAGGCTTGTGGATGAATCTCAAGGTTTTTAAGCAATTGTGTTTGGAATAGTTATTTTAGTTGATCGCAATGTTTACTGAACCGAAAGAATTGCTCTGATCGAATTTTTTGAAGTGAAAATGTTAAGTTATTTTGTATAAAATTAGATTGATTTACTGAGATCTTTATGTGAAACAAAGTTTTTGTGCTCTGTAGGTTGTTGATAAGTTACAAGGTTCTACTAAATCCAAAAGAGATGGTTGGCTGACGGAGCTGCCGAGTACAGGCCTCAAAGTTGAGGTCATCAGTAAATTGAAAGAGCAGAAGCAAAAAGATGTGGCTTGGGAGGGCAAATGTTCCGGCACAGTGTATGTTTTCTTTTCGGTGTTTTTGGGTTAATAATATTACTATCATTACTAATTGAAAGCTGTTCTTTATATTGCATCACAACACTACATGATACTGATTTTTAACCTTTTCGTTCAGTTACATTGCAGGAAACGAACAAGAAGGGCACTTCTCTATTATCAACGAGGCTTGCTCAATGTTAGTGTGATAAATCTTAATTGAACTTAGTTCTGCTTAGTGGAGAAAGAAGAATGCTTGTTATTGATGCCAATTAACTTAATGGAAATGCCCACCACCTTTTTTCTCCCCAATGTTCTGAATTTCAAATATGGTTATAGTAATTCTATTCACTTAAACCAATTCCTATCTTGTTATATTTTTTGATGTCTATGCCTTTTCAGGTTTGCACATACCAATCCTCTGCATCTAGATGTATTTCCGAGTGTAGTAAAATTTGAAGCAGAAGTTGTGGCAATGACAGCCAAGCTGCTCGGAAGTAAAGAAAAGGTTAGTGGAGGACAAGTATGTGGTAACATGACATCAGGAGGGACAGAAAGTATATTGTTGGCCGTGAAAACCTCACGAGACTATATGAAAGCTAAGAAGGGGATAACAAATCCAGAAATGTAAGTAAATATTCGCATTTATTTGTCATTTCGAATCTGTTATTTGAAAGGTGTTGTCATTTATTCACCTTCTTGAGTGTAGGATCATACCGGTTTCAGCTCATTCAGCTTACGACAAAGCTGCACAGTATTTTAAAATCAAACTGTGGCGTGTTCCTGTGGACCAAGATTTTCGAGCAGATGTTAAAGCAATCAAAAAGCGTATTAACAAGAACACCATATTGGTTAGGCTTTTGCTATTAATTTTTGTCCCTATTTTAACATTTTTGCTCGTGTCAGTTCTATGTTTATCACTTTCAGTTTAGTCTATTTAAACTTTCGTTTCTTTTCTAATTGATGTGTATGTGGCTGGTTGTAAATATCATCCTTTTCAGATTATTGGATCAGCCCCTGGCTATCCCCATGGAATTATTGACCCAATTGAGGCATGGCCGCTTAACCAATAGTTGTTTTTGTTCCACACCTTTTATTTGGGTCGAGGCTAAATCACTTGTGTTTTCACAGGAGCTTGGTGAGTTAGCTTCTGCTCATGGCATTTGCTTGCACGTGGACCTTTGCCTGGGTGGCTTTGTATTGCCTTTCGCTCGAAAGCTTGGGTATGTCCCTCTGAAATGTTATTCATTTTCTATTGCACTACACGCAATCTCTCTCTTTTAAACACAGTAGGCCAAAGTTGAACATTATTCTCTTTTCCTCTCATATTTGCCAGCACAAATTTTCTGATGTGTGTGCTAGGTATCCTGTTCCGCCATTTGATTTTTCCGTTCAGGGAGTAACATCTATATCTGTGGATGTACACAAATATGGGTTAGCTCCTAAGGGAACAAGTGTAGTCCTGTATAGAGATCATGACATACGGAAGGTAATATATAAGTTTCTTGGTTATTGATTGCATTATCATTCTGGAAACTGAGGATATGGTAGAGCGTTTCTTATAATTAACTAATGATTTTCATCTTATTTATTTTTGGCTCTTTTCCATTGCTGAATCACTTGGAACTTTGGATCATTTTAAAGCATCAATTTGTTGCTGGTAAGTTAACTATAGATCCCATAATTTTGATGCTTTGTAATGAATATGGCTATTAGTGTGTTTGATTGCTGGTTAACTCGCTGCTGCTAGTCGTTATTTTCTTTTTTTTTTGCTTTGTTATGGTTCTTGAGTTCGTATTTTATGTTCAATTTCTAATGTCCATTATTTTTCTTCTGTTGATAATTCAGTCACTGAATGGACTGGCGGGCTCTATATATCCCCTACGATTGCTGGAAGCAGGCCTGGAGGTCTTATTGCTGGGGCTTGGGCGGCAATGATGTCTTTGGGGCTTGAAGGTGACAGATTTTCATTTTATAAATATTTTCTTATGATTTCTGATCAAATTCTAGAGTCTTTGTGGCTTATGGACAATATACGGTATACAGGTTACCTGAAGAATACGAGGGAGATTATGGAAGCTTCAAAGAAAATAGAGAACGGGTATATAGCATAATAACTTAAAAAAATACTGTTATTTGGCCACATTCCACTTTGTGCTAAACACCACATTATCATTTTCAATTTAGTGTTCGTCAAATTCCGGAATTGTTTGTCATTGGAAGGCCTGATATGACAATTGTGGCATTTGGATCTGATATTTTGGACATATTTGAAGTAAATGACGCAATGTCGTCAAAAGGCTGGCATTTGAATGCACTGCAGAGGCCTAACAGGTAACTTCTGAAATGTTTGAATTTCCATCATAATTCGTAATTCAGCCCCTGCTTATTTCACGGTCGACTATGTTTTCAGCATTCATATATGTGTGACACTTCAGCATGTTAATGTAACGGAAGAATTCCTCCATGACCTGAGATCTTCAGTGCAAACGGTAAAATGCTTTATCATGAACAAAAACACATTTAGTGCTTCATTTGCAAACATTTACCTCAGTTATATTCTTATGGAATTAAAAATTTTATTTTGCCTTCAGGTGAAAGCGAATCCAGGGCCCGTCAAAGGAGGGCTTGCACCTATATACGGCGCAGCTGGAAGAATGCCGGATAGAGCTATGGTTCAAGATTTGCTGGTTGATTACATGGACACCACATGCTAGGGAAGAATCTTTTTACCTATCTTTTAGCTGTCAAAGATCATGTTTTATTAATTCTTGCGAGTAGCAAAAGAATATATGCATCATGCTCACCAATTCTTATAGAATTTAATTTATTTATGGATGGTTAATGGCAGAAAGCATGGTTGGAGTGAATGGTTCTGAATAATTCAATTTGTTACAGTATTTGAAAATATAAATGTAAAATCTTGTTGTATTCTGTCTGTTGTACACAGAGGATTATTATGTTTTGTTCTGTGTGCTTGTGCAATGTGTTAAATCCAGCCTTTAATTATTTATTTATATTTTGTTCTTGGTCATTTTCAGGTTCTAATCAGGTGAGAATCCTGTAGCACTTAGTCGAAAATGTATGCTATCCTATATATTTTGCTATTTATGTTTGTTTTTATTATGTTAATATAAAGACTAACCATTTATGGGATTGGTTATTTGGATTTGTTTTTAAGTGGTGTGATTGTTTAGAATCTCTTATTTTCTTCAAGTATAGCTGATACAGTGGATTATCAAGATGATTGGAAATAAATTCAGCTATATACTCCCTTTGTTGCACCTATGGTGTGATTTTTGTCTGTTCTATATTTTCTTTTTCTAAAGAGATTATATACAGATAATTTCATTTAAAATTTTTTGAATTTATAATTTTTTAAATTTTAATTAAATTAATTAATTATTAATTTTAATTTATAATTATTTTTATTATAGTCATTATTTTCGCTGATATGTTTTTAATTATTAATTAATTATATATTTTTAAAGTTTTTGTATCCGGAACACAATATAGCCGGGAACTAAAGGAATATATTACTACTAAATATTATGTGGAGTGCTCTAACAATTATTTTTATTATTAAATAAATTTCAAAATAACATACCTTCTATTTGCCTAGTGATGGCTCAAGAATATTGTGAATAAAAAAATCTTTTGTTATTTTTGACGTATGAACAAATATATTTTTTCGATGTTGCAGCAAAAGTTCTTTTTATAGTATTGGTAGGTTGTAGATAGGCCAACCATGTTGCAGTCTGAACCTATGGGCTTGATTTTATTCACTGTGTCTAAATTTTAAATGCCAATCAAATATGGTATCTTGGGAATGGTTAGACACGTGCAGATTCATTGAAGGACACTCAATTCCTTTTGTATGCAAAGGGAAATTAGTGAGAGATGTATTCTTTTCAAGGATGCATGGATTATACAACTTGGGAAGTCAATCGAGTGGGTGTGTGAGTTGATGTGCATATATTAGAGAAAAGATTATTGAGAAAAAAAGTTCTCACCAACCCATTCAGTTCTATCAACATTCTGAACGTGTGTTCTACACTGAAATCATCTGGAGAGATCGAAAGTGTTCGGAATTAATGGAGTTCCAACCGGAGGAAATAATCAAACTCTGGACTTTTTTGCTGTGTGGTCGTTGTTAGTACGAGGTTTAGCAACGTGAACCTGATGAGGTATTTTCTTGGGTTAATCATGATAAACGTTAGAGTTAAATGAGTTGCGGTTGTCCTTAATCAACACTGATTAGTGGAATTATTCATGGATTGGTATCCCTGGATGTAGATTTGTTGATAATCGAACTGGATCAACAAACACGTTGTCTTATATATTCTGCATTATCATTCGTTGTTAAAACGTTGTTATGACCTTTAAATTGTTCGAATGTGTTTTGTTCGATGAATCATTTTCCCAACAAATATTATTGAAAATTTTGTTAGTACCGCTTTGAGTTTATTTTCCATTTCTTATTATTAAAATTTCTCCTGTTCTCATAAAAAAAATAAAAATACTCCTCTACCATCCAAATTTATTCATTTTTTTTGGTCATCTAAAATAACTATTTTTTCAATTTTTTTTTATAGAAAATAAAAGTTTTTATCTTTACCTATATTTTTTAATTATTTAAATTAACTCCCCCCTCCCCAAAATTTTTTTTGTCAGATTTATTGTACTGCAAAACAAAATTCTTCCTCTTGATAATCTTAGGGTGGGTTTCTTTAGGGTGGTTTGAAAAAAATTGGGTTTGAGTTTGATTTTTATTTGGATTTGAAGATAGATTTGAATTTATGTCTTCTTTTTGTGTTTAGGTGTGGTTTGAGTTTGCAGAGTTTTAATAGAATTGATTTGATGAGTAATAAATATAATAATATAAATATGTATTAAATTTGTATTATAAAAAATTTTATTCTCTACAAACTCATATATATATTGTATATATTTTTTTAAACTATAACTATTATAAATATTAAATAAATATAATATTTAAAAAAGAAATTATATTAACAAAAAAAAAAAAAACAAGACTATAACTTTTGCTGCAAGCTGCAACATATATTGCGTCTTAGGGAGCTGGCCGGTTTGGATGAAATTACTGTGCAAACACGTTTTGCCCAAACCGAACTTGCAGAAACACACTCTTCTAAGAACTTTTTATAATCAAAATCACACGGAATGCATGCATGTACATGATTTTTGTAATATAGACAACACATTTATAATATCGACTTTAAAAATTGAATATATATAATTACTATCTGAAATCTCGACTATTAAATTTATCACATAAATGATTGGATAGTTTGTGTTAAATTGGTATAGTGTTACTATCATAATATTGTCAGCACGCGATAAAATTCGAAGTATGCAATCATACCATAGAGTTTTCGGCATATCAGATATGCATACAAGAAAGCTAGGTATATATTCAAGGCACAAATCTACATCTCCCAAAGAAGTTCCAAACAAATTCACAATTAAATAAGAAATATATGCAAGTATTCACAGATAATACTAGTTAAATGTTCACATTATAGAATCTAAAAAATACATAAATAAAAAATTATGTTCTATCTTATTCAAAGTCGATTTCAAATACAAATAAATATAATTTCATGTACATGCCAATTTATTATAAAAGGAAGCATATGGAAAACACAAGCTGAGCCTAAAAAATCAACATACATAGTGTTCACAATTCGTATTTTAACGCTTCACATTTTAGTCGTCACTTTAAGTTTGAAGGAATGTTGATATGTATATTATATAGTTATAAACCCGTGTTTGCAGGGTATTAGATTCGGCCGGGGGTTTACCCAGCACGCACTTTCGGATAGCGACTGCGGATTCCCATGTCATAAAAAAAAAATGTTCATCGATCTCGATTTCTTACAAGAGTAGAACTAAAATGAACTTCAAGAATGCACAAGGAGTTTGGGAAGTAACCAATCCTTAGTAATTGGCAATCCATATATATATATATATATATTTCACAAACATAAAAGAAGAACAAGAGATGTAGCTTAGGTTTTACAATACATGATTAGAAGGCATAATATTACATTAGGATATAGAGTTCTCACTTTTATTATTGTTCTTGCAAACCCAACATAAGATAGAAACTGTAAGTATAACCAACCACTCAGACATACATAAAAATCCACACAATAATTTAATATTTATATAAGAAAGCCAAGTACCCTTTTTGTGGCAATAACACATATAAGTACCCCAAGCCAACTCAACTTCCATTGTTGCATTTCTTTAGAGCTCCAAAACTAAGTCTACAATATCAAAGGAAACACCAATATCAGGCCAGGAATCACAACAAATCCATGTTTCTTTTAATTTGATCCATAAAGGGTTGTCAAATTTGCGTTTCAACAGAGAATATGTAAATTCGAAAATCACTCGATTCTGATTTTTATTCCAAAATCTCAACTCAATACGATATGAATTCTTTGGAGTCGAATTCAGGTCAATATGATTTTGTTTTAGATCATCTTATAACTTAGAATAAATATGGCATGAAAATATGAAAACTTTTTGAGTGTGTTTGTTTGTTTTTCTATTTCAAATGAAAATCTACAATATTTATTCTACACCGTTTTCAAGAAAAAAAATTGTATTATTTCTTCTTAAAATATATCACATCAAAATATTATGTAAATTATATTTCAAATGTCAAATTTCAATTTCAAATAAAAAACAAAAAATAATTTTAAAAAAGAATAAAAATTTAAAGAATATACGCTTAAAAATAAATTAACAACAAAACAAACTAAAGTTACCAAAATTAACTACTTTGAAGAAAAAAAGAAGAATACAACTACTAGACAAATGGCTTGATGAGAATAGGAACAAGTAGCTAATATTTTAACTTATATTATTTTCTATTATAAATTTTTAAATAGCAATAAAATTCTATATAAGTTTTAATATTTATATCTATTAATATAATTTAATTTAAAAAAATTAAATAATAAATCATATCTCAATTCTCTCTAAAAAAAAAAATAGTATTTTATATTATATTTTTGTGAAAAAAAAAAGTATTTAATCCGGATCAATAAATTAATGCCAAAAATTTAAAAAAGATTCAACCTTAATTTTGACATTCCATGATTTAATTTTTTTAAAAATCCTAAACACAAACTCATTCAAAATTTTCAGGTAAGACGAACCTGTATTTTCAGAATTTCAATAGGACAACTTTCTAGTAATATCAATATTATGTTGTAGTAACATAAAGTTTCAAAGGATGGCATCATATATATATATATATATATAGACTTACAGTTTGCATCAGATTTGACCCAGAGTTCATTCCCAGTAGCATCATTGGTGCTCTTCGTAAGCTGAGAAACATGAACATGATGATCACCCTCCACCTCCCTGCAACCCCATCCTCGATCATGAAGGTGATCATGATCATGAGGATATATTATAATGTCCTCAGCCGACGGCCTCGGACCGCCGCTGTTCGTACGATCTTTGATCTCATTCCTACCCTTCTGAGGAGGCGTTGCTGAATTCTCAGGATGAACTTTCCTGTTGAAAATCTGCAGAATCTGCAATCCATCCAAACACTTTCAATGTTCAAAAAAATCCGAAAACTTTTCGAACTAATCCTTCGACAATTCGACACTCACCTTATGCAGCTTCGTCGAATCCACAGCGGAGTTCTTCCCCGAAGCATGAGCAATTTTTTTCTTGAGCATCTTCTTCACAAGATGCACGGCAGATCTGTCGGTTTCCTTGTCGATTCTCTTCTCGGATTTTGTAACAGAGCTGTCCTCTGTTTGTCGCGCCTTCTGAAAAAGCTCTCCGAGCGAAGTCCTCTGATCTTTCTTCGCCGGAGCAGAATTCAGGTCAGTTTCCGGCAGCCCAATCGCCGATCCGAAAAGGTAGTTTTGCAGAGGGCAAGTGATTGTTCCAATATTCCCATAAGTTTCGGCGCTTTCGATAGTTTTTCCGGCGAGTGTGATCGCGCTGCAGTGGCTGATCCTGCCGGCGCTGACTTGGCTGTTCCGGCCGGACGAAAGATTGCAGCTGTCTCTGCTTTCGGTGCCGAGGACCTTTTCGAGCTCGTCGTTGATTAATTTGAGCTCGTTTTCGGTGACTTCCGTTTCCTTTTCCGCGATGTGATCAACGGAGATCGAAAATGTTGGCGTCGCCGGCTCAGTAGTCGAGATTGGGTCCGTGCCGAGAGTTCCGATGGCGAGGAATCCGTGGAAAAGCTCGTTGAGTTCCGGGGACGGATCTTCTTCGAGATCCTCTTCTTCGACTCGAGCCGAGTCGAGACTTGTGAATGAGTTTCGGAGGTAGTGATGATCTCGTTGCGATTTTCCGAAAGGTTTGTTGCCGCCGCCGCCGCCGCTGTAAGGTCCTTTCGGGTAGTACTGAAGATCGTCCATCGACGAATGGCCGGTGTAACCTTCGCAAAAAAATCGTCGAATGTTAATCGAATGAGTGTCGTTCATGGTTCTTTCGGGGTATAAAATAGCGCGTGGGACGTATGCGTCGACTTAACTCACCCATGGATATGTCCTTCGCGGTTTCACCGTTGTTTTGCCGGAATTTTCGATGCATCCACCCTAGTAACTGCAGAGAAATAGAGAAAAATGAATATTAAAAAAATAAAAAATAAAAAATGGAATTGAAGATGAGAATTGAATTGAATCAATATGTTATTACCTTCATGTTTGGTTGTAGTGTAGAGTTTGATGAGAAAAAGGAATGAAGAAATGAAGTTAAGATAGAGTGTAAGTTATATAGGTCACATTTTAATTGTGTAGGAAAAAGCCATTTATTTTAATTTTTTTTTTCTTCTATTCTTTTTAATTTATTTGTATTACAAGTTTTGTGAGGCTGACTCTTATAATTTATGCTAGTTGAAATTATATGCCAGACAATTTGATACTGAGTGTTCATATTTATAGGATATGTTGCATAAATATATATTTTTTTTACTATCAATGATGGTATATAATGTAAATTCATATATTGTATTTATATTACTATTATGTAAATATAAATAATGTGTTAGCGTCTCATTCACCGGAATGCTTCACGGTGTTAAATTATAAAAGATTCAGCCTTATAACCATCAATATTTATTTTTTACGGCAGTTATGGTGTTAATTTGATCAAATTAAAAGTGTTCCTACAAGTTAATAATACAAAGCAATTAACATTGCATTGCAAGACAAATAGAATATGTTGTATGTGATGTATGAGTTATATATTACACTATGTTGTATAAAATATATTGTATCATATATATATATATAATTATATAATATTCTATCAAAATATATATTGCATTAAAAAATACTATTACTTTTTTTATAAATTTTGTATTGATCAGGTCAAATTAGCATATCATATCATGTCGATTTGATTCAATGAAGGTAATAACAAAAGGGTTTATTTATATATTCATTGAATTTGGAGGTATGAATAATATTGTGATGTTTTTGGTGAATGAAAATGGAAACAGAAAGCAGTTGCATTGCATTTAGATTCAGGTGGTGAGCAGATAATGGTTTTAAGTTGGAGACAAATGAAGAAACAGTGAATTGCTTTTATTCACCACAAACAGTCCATGTTACATACTTACATGGATCTGATCAGATCAGAAATTAAATAAATAAATAAAATAATATAATATAATATAATATATTGATAGTATTAGGAGATCAAAGAAATGTCACCTCAATGAACAACATTGCTTCCATCTATTTTCTCCTCATCATTTTCTTCAAAAGAATATTTATTAGTAAGTATTTTACTATGTTTTAACAGTGTCTCACATATGATATATATTGCATACTAAAGATAAAGAAACTAGGAAAAAAAATATCTTAAAAGAGAACACTAGGTTTGAGTTTAGATTCATGTGATTTTTTTGTATATAAAATAATATTTCATCCGTCCTAAATGGATTATTTGAGGTTTTGTAGTAAATTAAGAGATAATAGTTTTTTATTAGGTAACGAAAGTGTATAAGAGTTTTGACATTTTTGTCATTTAATTTTATATGTAATTATATATGTAATGATATATTTGTAATTTAAATAAAAGTTAAAAAGATATTTTGGTATTAGTGTATGCTTACTTTTTTTAAAATAGAAAAATTATACTTTCAAGTGCGACAAAAAAAATAATAAAAAAAAATAGTTTGAATTGTGACAGATAAATTATAATAATTGTATAATAAAAAACATAGAGAGTTAACAAAGCCTAATTCTTCATATATATATATATATTATTTGTATTCTTTTACACAGTCAAATTATTGAATATTTTTAAGGAAGAAAAATAAAAACAATCTACACAACTACAAATAGAAAAAAAAAAAATGGTACTATATTATTAAATTTGGAAAAAAAAAACGACAAAAAGAATAATTTTGATATTATATTATTAAATCTGAAAAGAGGCATAAAAAATTTTAATACTATATTCTAAAAGTTTATTGGGTTTGGTTTGAAGTTAGAGTGCAAGTTTATATTTTACTTTCAATATAAAGCAAGCATATACAACATCAGAGTAAAAAGCATTATGGTTGACAGTATATGTGCCGAATAGATTTGTCCAAACGGTCTAAACCGTCGGCTACGGGTTATAAAAATATCAAACCGAAATTGAATCTTTCGAATAACAACTTCGATTACAATTTAATGGTTTCGATTACGGTTTAAAAACTGTCGATTACAATTTGAACGGTCCGTTTATATATATATATATATTCATTTTTAATATATATATATATTTTTTTATTTTATATTGAATTATATTTAAAAATAATTAATTTCAATTTTAATACTATTTAGAAATATTTGTTATTTATTTATTATATAAAAATAAGTAATAAATTTTTACAATATAAAAATAATTAAATTAATAAATTTAGTAAGTAATTAAATTAATTTTTAAATTAAAAAATTAATAAAAAGAAATTATAGAAATATTGATATAAAAATTAATAAGATAGTTTATATTAAATACAATTATATAATAAAAATTATAAAATTGAAAAAATAAATAAAAAGTAACATTATAATATATTAGGGTAAACTGTTTTTTTAGTCCCGTAACTGGATCCCTTTATCACTTTAGTCCTGTAAGTGGAGCATGTCGCAAACTAGTCCCATAAGTGAAAGATTTTCGCTGTTTTAGTCCTCCGGCGCCGGAGATGCCTGTGTGGCTCGCCGGAGGTGACGTGCTGACCTGGCGGACACGTGGATTTTTTTAATTTTTTTAAATTTTTTAAAATTTTTTTTTTAATTTATTTTTAATTTTTTTTGTATTTTTTTTATTTTGTCTAATTTTAAAAAAAATAAATAAATCCACGTGTCCGTCAGGTGTCGTTGACCTCGCGGGACACCTGGCGGACATGTCACCTCCGGCGAGCCACACGGGCGTCTCCGACGCCGGAGGACTAAAACAACGAAAATTTTTCATTTATGGGACTAGTTTGCGACAGACTCCACTTACGGGACTAAAATGATAAAGGGGTCTAGTTACGGGACTAAAAAAACAGTTTACCCAATATATTATTATCTCGGTCCCATAAAACCGGTAACATTTGCTTTTTGCACGTAGATTTTTGGATATTAGTATTATATTAGTTTATTGTGTGATATAAAAATAATGGTATTTGTGTAATATATTGGAAGTTATAAACGTATTAATTATGTTAGGTAGGTAGTACAATTACTAAATTAGAAAATAATATATTGTTTTGGAATGAACAAAAATAAAAAATTGTCATTCTTATGCGAACGAGGGAGTATTATTTTTCAATATCATTAATAATTATTTATTTTTAATTTTATTAATATTATTTTTTTTAAGAAAAATTGATAATATATTTAAAAAAAATTAAATATGAATATATTATCATTATTATGATAAAATACACAATTTTGTTATAATAAATTCATTTACACAGTACATATTCATCCCGCAATGGCATCAATTTTTTTTTTTTTTTTTATCTTCTCATTTTTTTCATTTCTTCCCTACAGGTCATCTTCCATTTTTTTTTTTCTTCATTTTTCTTTTTCTTTACCTACCCTACTCTAGTGTGCTTGCGCCGCGGTGTCGTGGCGACGCACTGATTTTAAATAAAAAAAAATAATAATAATTGGCTAAACCGATAGTTCAGCCAATTTTACAGACAATCAGCGCGTTCTTTCATTCATTGATGACTGCAACCAATCAGTGATCTATTGAGCATTCTTTCATTCTCCTTCATGGATGGTTGCAGTCAATCGGTGATCCATGATGCATTCTTTCATTCTCCTTCACGAATGACTGCAGTCAATCAGTATTCCGGTGATTCATGGAACATTCTTTCATTCTCATTCGGGATGATTAATGATCCATTGAACATTCTTTTTATCTCCTTCACGGATAGCTATAGGCAATAGGTGATCTATGAAACATTTTTTTCTTCAACCAAATCAAAATTCTCGTGAAAAGAGATGTCCAACAATCAATTGGTGATTCTCGAGTTATCATTAATAATTTTTTATTTTTATTAATAATAATATTATTTCTAATTTTAAGAAAAAATGATGATATATAAAAAATTTCATTATAAATATATTATTATTATTATTATTATAAAATACACAATTTTTCCATAATCAATTCATTTACACAATTACACATCCACAACCGCGGCCGCACCAGGTTCTCCTCTTTCTTTTTCTTCCCAATTCTTTCATTTCTTCCGCATTGATCATCCTAAAACAACAATAAGACTAGGTGTTTGTTGACCTGATTCGATTATCAACCAATCTACATCCGGGGATATCAATCCAGGAGGAATTCCACTAACCAGTGCTGATTAAGGACACAAACAACCACAACTCATTTAACTCTAATGCTAGTCATGGCTAACCCAGGAAAATACCTCCCAAGGTTCTCGTTGCTACAACCTCGTACTAACAACGACCACACAACAGAGAATTCCAGAGCTTGATCATTCTCTCCGGTTGGAACTCCATTAATTCCGAACACCTTCGACCTCTCCGGCGAATTTTTTTGTCAAAAACTCATTCAAAACTAAAAGGAATCGATATTGATAGATGGATGAGAGTTTCACTCAATATTCTTCTCTCTAAAGTATGATCTCCAAATCAAGTCATCACAAATCTTCAACCCTATTTGGTTGAGTAAATCACTCACATTCCTGGAATAAAATATTCCACGTTAATTTCCCTTTGCACTGAAATGGAAAGAGTGAGTTTCCATGTTTTGATCTTTCCTCAAATATGTCTTTTGTCTTTTGGAAAGTCTTTGCTGCAGAAATTAAGACACCATTAGTTCATATGCCAAAATAGCTTAGGGGAATTTCCATTCACATATATATATATATATACATGTGGAAGTTGTTACAGTATTGTTGAAACCATATAGATTATTGAAAATCACATGAAATATAAATTAATATCACAATATATATTAATATAAAATTTGTGGTTAATTAGGTCAAACCGAGTCATAATAATAAATATAAGCAACACATATTTATATCTTACTATATATGCTAATTGGGTCATCCAAAGAGTTGGAGATCTACCTCCATAATACAAATACAACAGTCAACATACCAAATAACAACATATATGATAATAGTCGATACATAATATGTATTGTATTAATTAAAATTATATGTTGTATAAAATGGCGGAACTCCACGGGGAAAGGGGCTCCCCTGCCCTACCCACCCCTTAAATTTTTAATATAATATATTCATTTTTAAAATTTTA